AAACAAGAAGCCAAAGAAGCTCAATATTACAGTTATTAGAGACGAGACCGCGCCACAACAAACGAGCGGAGCCAGAGGAGATTGTGGTCCTCTCGTATGCTTGGCGTTGGAGCGTTTGACGACGGGAAGCATCAAGTATCTACCTCCCACCGATAGAGATAAAGCTGCAGTAGGCTTGTGGTTTCGGCATTATATGGCTAAATCGATATATACGAGACGCTGCCTACCTGCATCCGCGTTATAAAAATTTCCATAAACAATTGGTAAGTTTATATACTTTTGGTTTGAAAATGTTTGGTTAAGTAACTAGAATTCAATAATTTGTAGAAAGTGTTGTCTGAACAAATGTTTGGTTTCTGCAGGTTAATCTCAGAAGTGAACTGCGTGAAAATGATGTCGAGCTGCAAAAGTTGATTCAATAGTTTAATTGATTGTTTTTTGATTGTTTAATTGATTTGTAAAAGTTGATTCAATAGTAGATGATCGGAAATAAGAATTATTGCTTATTTTTTGATTGTTTAATTGATTTGTAAAAGATGATTTGTAAAAGTTGATTTGTGTAATTGATGCGAACATAATTCTTATTTGTGCTTGTTTAATTGATTGAAATGTAATGGTTGATTTTGTTGATTTCAATCTGCATTATGTTGAAGGCAAAAATGACTATCGCAATGCGAAATGAAAATCGCAACGAGAGAATCGCAATGCGAAATGAAAATCGCAATGCGGAAATGAAAATCGCAATGCGTTTATAATTTCGCATTGCGATTATCTCGTTGCGATTTTCATTTCGCATTGCGATTTTCATTTCGCATTGCGATTCTTTCGTTGCGATTTTCATTTCGCATTGCGATTTCCATTTCGCATTGCGATTTTCATTTCGCATTGCGATTTTCATTTCGCATTGCGATTCTCTCGTTGCGATTTTCATTTCGCATTGCGATTTTCATTTCGCATTGCGATTCTCTCGTTGCGATTTCATTTCCGCATTGCGATTTTCATGTTGGGATTTTCATTTCGCGTTGCGATTGTATTTTCCGTGTTGCGATAGTCAAATGCATGCCTAATAGTGATAACAACTGAATAACAAGAGTTGGTTAAGTCAAAATGGTTGGCCTGAGTCATTAATTCAACTGAAAATGTTAAAAGTTCACACATAAAATCCACATAATACAACGTTTGCATTTAAAAATCACCTAAGTTAACAGTCTCAAAAGGTGAAGCCAATCGTGATTGGGATTTTAAAGATGATTGCCTTTTGCTTGACACCATATGAGCTTTGGATTTTGATGAGGATCCATATTTTGGTAGAGGAAAAGATGATTTTGATGGCACTGGTGATCCACATGTCAACCTTGTATGACCACTTTCCTTGCACCGACTACATGTCGATCTCTTCTTCTCTTCACCCTTAGACGGTATACGATCGTGACTTTTTGGTCGGCCAGGTAGCCTTCTGTCCATGGCTGGTGGCAAAACTGTTTGTAAGTCATCTGGTATGTCCCACTCAGAAGGATGTGGAATAGGGTAGACAATCTCGGCATAAGTCTGTCGATAAACTTCTGTAGTGTAGCAATCCATAGCGTATGCGCTTGAATCATCTTGGTTTAAATGAAGAGCAACTTTTATAACATGGCCACACGGATAACCAGATGTTTGCCATTTCATACAACTACACGTCTTTGCATTTAGATCGACTAGCCCATTTAAGTTATTATCCAGTACTTGAAACAAAGTGTTTGAACATGGTTCAACTCTCCATGACGTTGACTTCACAACACGTTTCGTTATCTTTTTTTCAGTCCATGGTGTAACACGATGTTCCAATGTTCCTGTAAATTTAAATAAACAATACTTAGTAAAATATAAATATGATAAGTTACGAATTCAAAGAAATAATACCTGCATGGTTTCTTTTCTTGTAGTACCACTGTTGAATAGAGGCTCGAAAAAACTCCATTAACATAGTAATGGGTAATTTCCGGGAATGACGACTTAGAGCGTTGATTGATTCTGCACTATTAGACGTCATGAAACCATATCTTGCTCCAAGTTGATGTACTCTTGACCATCTTTCAAACCCGACATCTTCTAGTGTTTGAGCACACTGAGGCAAAACACGTCTTAAACAATTTATATGCTTATTGAAATCCACTTCCCGATAAGCTTTTACAGCCTTCCAGTATGTCCATTTGTGCTTTTTTATACCAGCAGACCTTGATTTTAGATTTCTATACAAATGAACACCACAAAGTCCATGAAAAGCATCTGGGAAACACCTTCTAACAGCGTTGTCAATTGAGTTTGCCCTATCGGATATGATTGTCAGATTGCTAATAGGACCTATGCAATCCCTAAGATGCCCCATAAACCATGTCCATGAATCAGAGGTTTCAGATTTGCCAACCCCGTAAGCTATTGGCAATATCCCATTGTTAGCATCCATGGCTACTGCTAATAAGTTTACTCCAAGGTATCGACCTTTCAAATGTGCTCCGTCAACTATAATAACTGGGCGCATGCAAGTAATAAACGAACGAATCTACAAAATAATATACACAAGAAATATAATCATTTAAATGTGAAATGCATGTAACTAACAAAAATGAGTCAACAAAATTATATTGATTTACTAACCGTAGCACCAATGGCGATAAACAGCAACTCAAAGCGTCCATCTCTATCTGTTTTGATATGAGTTACCGACCCAGGATTTTTCAGCTTTAAATTGTGACAATAAGCCGGCAGTTGGGCAAACGATGCTTCTGGCGACCCCCTCAACAATTCCAAGGCATAACATTTGGCTCTCCAAGCTTGAGAATATGATATACTAATCTTGAACCGAGCATTCATGTCAGTCATAATTTCATGTCCCCGATATACCCTGCCATTCAAAAACATTAACTCAGCCAGAAAACCACCCAACACCTTTTTGTTTGCCTGTCTATGGTGAGGAAAAACTTGGGTTCTTGAACATGTATGTTTATCAATAAAAGTCCTAACTTGAAACATTTTGCAATCTTTTATTCTCTTTGCAATCATACGCCACGTACAGTTTTTGTCAATCATACACCTTGTTTCGAAACGATCTTTGCTTGATTTGTTAACTTTTAGTTGATAGCCATCTTCCACACATTTTGTATACAAAGCTATCTTCAAGTCTTCCTTTGTATCAAAACAATCATCTTTCTTGACACGAATAACTTTTGTGTAACAATCAACTGCTTTCTTTGCCAACTCTTCTTCCGGTAACTGAAGTAATTCTGGCATATTCCAGTTATACTCCCGTGGCATTTTTTTCTTCGGGGACTTTTCTTCTTCTTTTTCTTCTTCAGGATTATATGAATTACAGAATGGATGTTCAACATGTTCATTCACAGTCGTAACTTCCTCCTCATTATCATCAACAACATCTTCCTCGACAACGGGTGTTTCATCATCAAAATTCGGGTATTGACCAATATTAAAATCATTACACACATGGTCTGTTTCTTCTTCTGAAACATCATCAAAATCCGTGTATTGACCAATATCAAAGTCCGGATATTGACCAAGACCAAATTTCGAATACTGACTAGTACTCATAATTTTTTCTGTTGGCTCATCATCGTCTAACTGGTCAATACGAAAACCGAAATTTGGTGCTGAAAGTTGATTGGGATTTGGATTAGAGAAAGGTTGTGGGTTTTGAGAAAAACTTAGTTGATTACTACCCGCTACTGACCCAACAATACTACTTCTAGGTTCAACAACATACAATGTAACATCATCTTGTGAAACACTAATGTAAGCAATGAATCGTTCAACATCTTCATTGTCGGTTAACAAATAAACTTTACCATTTCTCTGATAAGATAGCCTAAATCCACTTAGGGGCTCTAAATTCAATTTATTTGAAACACGTAGCATTAGAGTTTCATAAGTTAACTTTTGTAAAGACAATTTTAGTTGAAGATTCATGGGTAAAGGCATATATTGTAAAACACCATGAACATTATCCCATGACCCTCCAAAACACAAATCTATCCAAACATGATCAGATGATTTCATGGTTGTAAATTAATTTACTAAACAGACGAGCTGCGAAACTAAAACCTGTTGCCGGATTGGGAAGGATGTCGTTGGATATAGGAACGGATGTCGCCGGAGAGAGTGATAGATGGAGATGGAATGAGTTGCGATTTAGGGATTTAGTTTATGATTTCAGTGTTATATACCCAAAATTTCAGTGTTGTGATTTACAGATTCTCGTTGCGATTTACGGATTATCGTTGCGATTTACAGATTCTCGTTGCGATTTACGGATTATCGTTGCGATTTACGGATACGCGTTGCGATTTACGGATTATCGTTGCGATTTACGGATACGCGTTGCGATTTACGGATACGCATTGCGATTTACGGATACGCGTTGCGATTTACGGATACACGTTGCGATTTACGGATACGCGTTGCGATTTTATGTATTATCGTTGCGATTTACGGATACGCGTTGCGATATACGGATACGCATTGCGATTTACCCATACGCGTTGCGATTTACGGATACACGTTGCGATTTACGGATACGCGTTGCGATTTATGTGTTCGCGTTGCGATTTTCATATTCGCGTTGCGATTATTGAAAATCGCAATGCGAATTTGTACTATCGCATCGCGATTTTCAAGAATCGCGTTGCGATTTTGGAAACTGATTTGCGATTCTGGGGATCGCGTTGCGATTTTTATTTCGCGTTGCGATTTTGTTGGTCATTTTGGCAAATCCAAAAAAAGTTGGTTAAAATCGTATATTATAACTTTTTTTTGGTCACTGAGGCGATTTTCTCTTCTTAATAATACATTCCACCATCTTTATTCTGCAAAAACATGTAATTAAAAAGTGTATATCGAGCCAAAACACCATGAAAGAACTCAGTTTCAAGTTAAAGGACACAAGAAATATAACCTCGTGGCTGTAAACAGAAACATAAAACATCATTTGTTTACTCTTAAAACAGCTTTACGGGGGAAAATGGCGGCATTATTTGCCATAAAACAGCTTTAAACTATATAGTTAGCCTCGGAACCTTTGCCACTACCTTCGGTTCTGACTTTAAACATTTTTGTCCAACTGAGCTCGAGAATTTCTCCTAGCACTTTCCAACACGGTTTTATCGACGGTAATGAAGTAAGCTGCAATCGATGCTGTTAATGAACAAGGATAGCCATATTATTACTCGAGGAAAGTGGTGCTATCAATTATAATAACCAGTCATTCCCATTTATCTCCTATTTCTATGTCCTCAATGGATACACAGATCAATATGATGCCATGTAGAAATCATGGATTCATATGTTAGGACTTGCAAGAAACCCATGGCAAAGACTAATACATCAAGGTGATATAGAATTGAAAATACCTCCACTGATGATAAGTGCTTGAGCAGTGTGGTTGAGGTTTGTCTTTGCCCAAGGAATCTTACGAACAGCGATCAACTGAAAAAAGAGCAGTCCCGGGGGATTCAAATACAATCGGAAATAAATTAGAATGTTATTCACGCATGTAAAAGATCTGAGTACTGAACTTTTACCAATTGAGTTTGAGTTCATGACAATGGAAGAATAGTTTTGGTAAAGCCATTTTATAACGTACAGCAGTAAAAATTATGCAGGCAATCAGTTAGTTGAGTTTTGATCTCAAAATACATGAAAGTCCAAACTAGATTGCAAAGGAGTAATTTTTCATTTATAAAATGTCATAACCATAACCCCAAGCCCTTAATTGGGAAGCTATTGTCGCTAAAGCGAGTTTGTATCCATGGCCACCTGGACAGAATTTTAAGCTGAGGCTCAGTGAGCAAGAGATGATAGTTTTAAGCTAAACTCAAAGAACTAAAATTTTCAGGATACTGCCCTTTCTTTTTATTTTGGGTAATTTCATTTCATTTATTGTAAAAATCAAATCGATAACAACAAGATTAACGTTAACTTACTGTAGGCACAGCGCTGACGACGGCGGTAATCGCAGCCGCCTTGATACCGGCACGAACTCCTTCTGCGGATTGAACAAAAATCAAAGACATTAACAATTGCATTTGACGCAGAAACAAATAATTTCAGGGTAAAAAAAGCATTCTTATGTGATTGATTCTAGACATCCAAATGAATATCAGGTTAAATTATAAGAAATTGCCAAAAAATATGAGAGAGAGAAATTTCCCTGCAATTTTTCAGCTGCAAAAAATGAAGGAAATGAAAGAAAAAAAATCCAACCTTGAGAGAATTGCTGGGCTCTTAACTTCTTCTCGTCTTCAGCAGGAGAAGGAATCAATAAGGAATTTGTTTTTCTCGTTATCCAAACATCCCTTATTTCTGATGGAATTCCCATTCTCTAATCCGCAACTTAAAGAACCGAAATAGTTTTTTTTTGGAAGCTTTGGTGACGATGAGAGCTTTAAGAGAGAAGAAAGTAAAGGATCGATTAAATATAGTATAGCTTACCACTTTCATCTTTCCATCAGAACCGTCCACTGATTTATCAGTTCTGATAAAATTGGATAAAAAATCAATAAATCCGATGCTGTTAATTATTTCTTTTCCTAATATTGAATTTATACATTAAATACATTTTCAGTTTAAAACTATAATTATTTAATTTTAAATTTATTGTCATATATGGATTTTTTTATTCAAATATCAAAATTTTTAAATACTATTTTTTGAATTAACATTTTTTATATTATATAGGATAAAGATATTATACGCCAGATACACTTTCTGTAGGCTGTATTTATAATATTTAAAAATAATTTAAAGATATTTTTTATAATAAATTAATCATATTTTATAATATTTAAAGATTTAAAGATAAAAAATAGTTTCAATATAATTTAATAATCCCTGATATAGTATATTTCAAAATATAAATGTTTTAACTAAATTCATTTTTATTTTACAGTAATCGAATCAAAATTTTAAGTACACATAAAAAACACGAGCTATCGACGCGTAGAAAATCAGTGGGTTAGGGAAAGGTACATAAAGTATACAACGAATGCGGCGCCATCTGTTTTCCGCGAAGCAAAACCAAGACCTGGGATTAGATCCAAGCCAAAACGACGCCGCTCCATACGGTGAAAGTGGTCTCTCAGGTGTCATTAATCCAAAATATTCTCTCCTCGGACAAGACACCTCTCCTATATATAAACATTTAAGATTGGCGACCGATTCTTTCCAGTTTTTTCTAAAGAAAAAAAGAATTATCTAAGCTATTCGCTGAGAACAGAGAGGATAGAGTCGAACATTCCCGTTTAGAGAAAGCTAGCGATGGAAAATCCCGGCGATACGCAGATGAAGTTAGTCACCGGCCCCGGCGGTTACGTGCTCGAAGATGTTCCTCACTTCACTGATTACCTCCCTGATCTACCGGTACGCTTTCTTCTTTTTCCTTTTTGTTCTATTTGAATGTGTGTATGTATTTACTTACTTCGAACTGATCAGTTACTTTAGATCAAGAGAGACTAGATGAGGTGCATTTTTTGTTCAGTAATAGTGATTTTATCAGCTTTGGATTTCATTGCTCTGTTCAGCGTTGAGAAATCAGAGAGACATGAGTTGCACATTGTTGAGATTTTTGTTTAGTGATAGTTATTTGATCACTGCTGAGAGGCGAGAGTTCAGTTTTTTTTAGTAACTTTAAGTTAATGATTTGTCTTTCACTTTAGATCAACAGAGATGATGTGCATCTTGTTGAGATTTTTGTTTATTGATAGTAATTTCATCAGCTTTGGATTTCATTCCTTTTTTTTTATTGCAGGGAGCTCAAGTTTCTTTTTTTATTATTTGTTTTTTATTTCGATACCTCTAAGTTACAGATTTCCTTTTCACTTCCTTTCCTTTTGTTACTCTGTTTATATAATTATATTTACATATATATGTGTGGAGCATTTTGTTTTATTGGTATATCTTTCCGTGGCAGAGCTATCCCAACCCATTACAAGACAATCCGGCTTATTCAGTTGTCAAGTGAGTAAAATTAAACCTGAAATTTTTCTTCAGCTAATTCATTGGTTTTGGATCGTGGTTAATGGTGGTTTGGCCTTTTTATTCACAGGCAATATTTTGTTAATGCAGATGATACTGTCACTCAGAAGGTAAATCCTTGATTACTTGCTTGGATTTTGCATTTTATGCAAAATTTATTTGAAGTTATACTTCGTTTGTTAAGACTTGTATTTTGTTGGAGCGGAGCATGGTCAAGAAAGAAAAGCTTAAAACCTTTAAAGTGTTTTATGTGTTGCAGTCCAAGTCATAAATCCTTACCGATATACTTTCTTAATTAATATGGTTAAGTGATACGCTAGTTTTATTACAGATTGTAGTTCACAAGGATGGTCCAAGAGGGGTGCATTTTCGACGTGCAGGACCTCGCCAAAGGGTAACTTCTCACCTTGCCCACATGATATTGGGTTGAAGTTATGAATGATAAGCTATGGACGGTTCACTGACTGGTAGTTGTTACACTTATCAGGTGTATTTTGGATCAGATGAAGTGCATGCATGCATTGTAACATGTGGTGGTTTATGCCCCGGACTCAACACAGTGATCAGAGAAATTGTGTGTGGCCTCTATCACATGTATGGTGTCCGAAAAGTTCTTGGAATAGATGTAAGTAACCCTATGGTTTAATACTGTTTGATTACTTGGTTTATGAATTATGATCTGTAAGAAAAACACCATCACTTGATAATTTTACCTTCAACTTATACTTGGTACACCTTTAGGGAGGATATAGGGGTTTTTATGCAAAGAACACAATCACCTTAACTCCCAAGTTTGTCAATGATATCCATAAACGCGGTGGTACAATCCTTGGGACATCAAGAGGGGGTCATGAAAAATCTAAGATTGTTGACAGCATTCAGGATCGTGGAATCAATCAGGTATATTGAGGTGCATGGGTAGAGGTTTCTGTCTGACCCTCCTCTCTGTTTGTTTGAATTTATGCATCAAATATTTTTCAAATGACTGCTACTGCATAGCTTCTAATTGTCTCATTTAGCGGTTCAGGTTTATATAATTGGAGGTGACGGGACACAAAGAGGAGCAGCAGTAATTTTTGAGGTATTAGCATTTGGCCTTTTCTTATTCTTTTAAGTGTCAAATAAGAAATATGTTGCATAGTGGTTGATCAATTTAACCAACATGTAGTCGAGGATGAACCTACAATCGCAATCCCTTTAAGAAATTATTGGCATTAATTTGGATACAATGTAATTAATTGTTATTATGTTTAATGATCTTGTTAGGAAATTAGGCGACGTGGCCTCAAAGTAGCTGTTGCTGGAATTCCAAAAACTATTGACAATGATATTCCGGTATTTCTCATCTTCAAAGTTGTAGTTCTCTTTAAATTTTGTTCTTGTAACTGCTTAAAAGACTTGTTGATTAATCCATGAGAAGGCATTGTGATGGGTTGCTGATTTTGGTTCAGGTTATTGACAAATCATTTGGTTTTGATACGGCGGTAGAGGAGGCCCAACGCGCCATTAATGCAGCACATGTTGAAGCTACAAGTATTGAGAATGGCATTGGACTTGTGAAGCTAATGGGGCGCTATAGTGGTATGCTTAGTTGTTATGATCATAATAGATTGACTCTTGACAATTATGTAATTGCTACTACCTAGTGTCTCTAGTTTTTTCTTTGTTTGTGTAGTCGGTGTTATTCGATCCCTTCTTTATTGATCTTCCTTAACCTATGCTGCAGGTTTCATTGCAATGTATGCTACTCTTGCCAGCCGTGATGTTGATTGTTGCTTGATTCCAGAGTCACCATTCTATCTTGAAGGAAGTGGTGGACTTTATGAATATATCGAAAAACGACTCAAAGAAAACGGACATATGGTCATTGTTATAGCTGAAGGAGCAGGACAGGATCTTCTTTCAGAGAGCTTGCAGTCCTTGGACCAGCAAGATGCTTCTGGAAACAAGCTTCTTCAAGATGTTGGGCTGTGGATCTCTCACAGGATAAAGGTATAAACTTCAATTAATTCATGGCTACTGACTAGATGTCCATTTAACATCTACACTGAAATCTTTAACTGTCTATTATCACTTTGTGTAGGACTATTTTGCGAAAAAGATGCCCATTAATCTTAAATATATAGGTTAATATCTCATTCGCTCTTTATTTACTCTGTCCCTACCATATTCAACCTTTTAGTAACGTGCATAATATTTTACATCAAAATTTTTGCTTTCAGATCCTACGTACATGATCCGGGCTATTCCTAGCATTGCTTCTGATAATGTCTACTGCACCCTACTTGCTCATAGTGCTGTACATGGAGCAATGGCTGGGTATACAGGCTTCACTGTCGGTCCTGTCAATGCAAGACATGCTTACATTCCATTTAATGTACGTTCCAGGACACCCTTTCATAATTTCTCTGTTAGTCCAAGTGTCCGCTGTACACATTGACCATGAACATTGTTGACTCCAATTTCTGTTAGTTATTCTGGCTTTGCTTTGAGACAGAAACCTAGAATACAGGTTAAATACAAGAATGGGAAAGAAAGAACTGTTGTAGGTTGCATGGTAGACCTGTAAATTTTGACACAATCCCGAAAACTCAGATCAGAATTTGAACCAGCTCGATTTGATCATAAATATCATTCTAGATTGGCCTGATGCTGACCTAAAACCAACCCACTCCGCCCAATAGACAGTTCCAGTTGCATGGGAGTAGCATATATATGTATATATATAGGTTTAGTCATTGGGTTTTTGTCTTTTGATTTTACTTGTTAAAGGATTGTCATATAATATATGGCTGCATTTTGTGTCCCACTAATATTCAAACACTTTCCTGACTGAATTTATGAGAATGAGAAGATATTTTTCTCATGTTTTTTTTTTAAAAGGTTTACGGTTAATATCTTCATTGTAATTTTAATCTGCAGCGCATCACCGAGAAACAGAACAAGGTCGTCATCACCGATAGGATGTGGGCGAGACTGCTCTCTTCAACCAACCAGCCTAGCTTCCTGAACCCCCGAGATATTGCCAAATCCAAGGAAGAGAAACAACCAACAACTGGCATTTTGGATAGTGAAAATTTTAAAGACAGAACATCAGTGACCAAAGACAATCCTTGTCTGTCAGCAACTGGCTTGTTGGTTGTGGACAATTGTAAAGACGGAATATCGGTGGCCGAAGACAGTCCTTGTATGTCATGAAAGTTCCCTCTCCCATCTTATGTGGTCAGTCAAATTTGCCATCACTTTAAGAGGTAGCACTCCACTATCCTTAAATAATCAGTTAAATAGTTACTCGGTCCCTCAGTTTCTGTTGTATGAATTACTTGGTAGTTTGAAATTTTGGTGGTGGTGCTTTGACTTTGAGAAGTTCATAGTTTGCTTACATGGCCCTGGAAATGTGTGATTTGCTTGCATTATATTTGTCTTTCTTGTTACCTTTTGTTATACTTCTGAACTGGATGTATCGGGTTAGTTTTTGGGTCCTATTAATTTGAATTTTACGATTTTCGAGTCAGTTTTGGATTAAGCTCAATTTTTTATTTGAGGTTCATGTTCTTTTTAGGTTGGGTCAGTACAAATTTAGATCAATTCAGATTTATGTCCGTTTGAGTTTGGTCATCTGTGTTATTGGTTTGAGGTTCAAGTTGTTTCGAGTTTATATTAGTTTTGGGTTGTCAACTTTTCATGATCAAATTAGATTATGTATGATTTGAGTTAATTGAATTTGATTTTTAGGTTCTAGTCAAAATTGGAGTTTACTTCGTGCTATGTTTTTTCTATGATGTATGAAACACGAGAAACAGCCAAACTGCTGACAAGGACAATCACGAGACGTCCATGTTCATGTTGAAGCTTGAATCTTGGTATTGTTCTTCATATGCTACGAAGAGATCTATAAATTTTGATAATTATTTAAGCATGTTATTATTGTATAATTACATGACTGCTTGGAAAGTTCATTATAACATGCTTAAAACTAGGTCTTGAAGTTGTTTCCCACTTCGGCTTTTCCATTACGATGACAGTGCTTTTTAGTTACATGGGCTAAAAACTGACAATTCCAAGCACCTTTAAAACAAAATATAATTTGGTACCAGATACTTGAGTGTCCCTTAATCTAAAGAAAAAGAAAAGAAGGCAAGCTTACACTCAAAGAATTTATGCCAAAACAAAACCTATGGACTTATATATCAATTATCCATCCCAGCCACCGAGTAGAGGAAATGGAATGGTTGTATCCTAAGCGAAGGGGTCCTCAGTGGAAACAAGGGTGGACAAACCAGACCCTGTCTTCCGTTTCAACACCGCCTCTCCCCTTGCTTACTATATTTGGGATTGTCATTCTCTTGCTTTGTCTCTCTCGATATGCTGATTACAAGGCCCAGTTACATAACTCCGCCATTAACTTTCAGCTATTCGTTTTACTCTTCCCGCTTCTGTTAATCTTTTTCTTCTTCATCTCATTTTCGTCTGGTGGAAGGACTGCGTTTCGGCAGCAGCGTCTTGAATACGAGGCCGTTCATTGATCCGGGACTTCACCTTGGAGCATCGTTATGCTGGTGGCTCTTCTTTTTTCTGCTGCTTTCTTATCAATCTTCGTTTACTTCTAAATGGTTTGAACCTCTCTCCAGGTCCAGTTAGTAGATTCCATAATATTGATTGAAATTTAATTTAACTCATGTAATTTTCTTTAGCATTCAAGTAAATTGGAAACCAAGTCAAGTTGCATCCTCCTTTGTATAAAGAACTCCTGACAAAGATATTCACTAGACGTCCATATTCTTCATGTTGAAGCTTGGTATCGTTATCCATGTGCCACGAGGCATGCATCTGTATTCTTGAAGACATTTAATTTCGTCCACCGTTATTTATATAATATTATATTATATAATTATATACATATATATATACATATATTTACATTTTATTTCACAGGCCCAAGACCAAAGAGCCCAGCAGAAACCTGTGAGGTCCAACAGATCACACGTGACCCGAAGCCAACTTGGAGCCCCAAACCGAGTCCAAGTCCTCAACCCAAACTGATGCAAGGGTTCTAGAAGCTTTCTTATTCTGCGCCATTTTTCACGGCAGCACACCCCCAACGACCGGGCTTCTCGGTAACCACCAACGCCATTCAAGGAAAATAAACAACAAGCAACCAAGATATATTAGGACTCTATCTTGAATAGGATTCTAAAAATAGTGTTTGGTTTTTATTATAAATACATGTAATCGAACCATTCAAAAGGGGGGACGATTTGATGCACGAGAATATTACCTAGAGATTACCACGATAGCACACACACAAATCTTACGAGTATTCATTAGCGAAATACGAGCAAAGCAATCTCGGAGATCAACATTTTGTAATCGTTTCGAAGCAAAATAAAGGGTAAAAAAATCATATCTTCCTCGTTTTATCTTGCATGTGCATTTACTTCATCGTTTTGTTTCGAATAAAACCCAAAAATGGGTTCTTTGCCGAGGATCGGAGTGAGGGCAATCAAAATCTATTTTTTTAGATCTAGCCCTCCCGAGGTACATTCTTGAAAAACCAAGTGCGGATTTTAAAAGGAGTGGGGGTTACACCAAAAAATAGTTTCGAAAAATATCACAAAAAAAAAAACAAAGAACATTCGAAACTAAAAAAAACAGAGGGGAACAAAGAAGCAAAGAAGAAATCAGAGAAGTTCTCACCTCGGATCGAAGAGGAAAGCCCGAAGTTAGCCGTATTTATTTTTCCTGAGAGAAGTGAAAGGGGAACGAAAAGTGAAAAAGGAGAACGACTTACCTCTCGGTCGCAACATATCCCCAACCAACTCAGAGAAGAAAATCTCAAAGCTGGATTGTGCAGTCTCGAGCTTTGTGAGGTTAGTGCCAGCTGTTAGCTTTTTTTAAATTGCTCCTTTAACTGGTTTTGTGCATGTTGTTAACATCTTTTATTGGACTACTTTATTAGTGGCATTAAATAATATTGTAATTATTTATCCTGTTATATGATTTCAATGTTCCTAAACGCATGGATTCAATTAACACTCGGAAAAGCCATTATTTTGGCCATTTTCTTTTGCGCGAGATTAAATAAATCCCATGGTTTTGAACATTGGGCAAATTCACCATATGGTCCTTTATTTATTATGGTTTTTATTTATTTATTTAGTTTATTTTATTACTTTTTTTCCTTTGGTTTATGTAGTATTTATTTAATATTTCTTATCTAATATTTTTTTTTATCAAAGGTAAGTAATTTGAATCGGGTTTTTAAATTCTAATTTTGTAATTAAAGACAACCGATAAATTAATTGGTACCGAAAGGGCAGTTCAAGGGTGCTAATCCTTCCTTGACCGTAACCGACTCCCGAACCCGACACATTTCTGGTACAACGCAGATCAGGTAAGATGGTGTCCGACCCACCTAAATTCGTTTTAAAGTGGTCGGTGGCGACTCCTAACCACATTTAATCCAAGTCGAAGCCCAATTCCGGGGCCCAACCGAAAGACGGTCGCGACAGCTTGGCGACTCCGCTGGGGACAGGTAAGTGAGTCAGGCCAGAATTAATTTCTGGTTGTCTTTTTATGCGAAAATTGTAAGTTTAAATTTTAATTTATTTATTCGGTTCCGATTATTTACCTTTGATTATTTTTCAAATAAATAGTTGTACTAACATTTTTCAATGATTTCAGATTTTTGAAAAGTTTCTATCTCAGGCTCTATACCCGAGCTCCGAACCCTTTTAAGTGGGGGCGAAAGCGACGCCTTCGTGTGAATTTATTCACCGTATGGGCCTAGCAAGTAACCTTCGGGATTCATATACCTTATGCCTTCGTGTGAATTCATTCTCCGTATGGGCATAAGGGAATGTTTCCTCTCGAGTTTAACTTAGTCCACACAAGCTTATAATGGGCTTAGGACTAAGGGTCTGGCAAGCCCAAGGGGGCACCGACAAGGGGAACTCGAGTACCTTTTTAGAACCTAAACCGGGAGAGTACAGGGAATTAGAGCCCACCCCGAAACCTCATTCCAAACCTTAGGCTGTTTTATTTCCTGCTTTATTTTCTGTTCAAAGCATGCGAACTAGACAAACATGTGGTTAGGTTTTGTTTGAAATTAGCATGCGGGATAGAGATCATGTCCGGGTAGGAATAATAAGCATGTGGGGTAGATATCATGTGGGGTAGCATTTTTCATTTTTATTATTGTTTTGATTTACCTCACTAACTCTTTTTATTTTATTTTTTTCTCATTTTGTTCTCATCATTCGCATCATTTAAAACGAGGTGTTGATCCACCAAAAATGTGTTGGTTAAACGTAAATAATCTGCATTAACAGACAAAGGGGTTATAATACAAAGAGATAAAAAAAACTCAGAAGTCCAACCGTGGTCAAAGAATACTCAAAGGCAAAGTTGCAGGGGCAATACGAGGAAAAGGTCACTGACCCGGTCGCTCCTTTCGAAAACCACAAGAACAAGATGGTGAAACACTAGCTGAGCTGGATGCCATTACTGACGAATTCAAGAAGCAAGCTTCGGATAGTTTCTCTCGATGGAGGGCTCCAATGACACTTTCGTTAGAAACAAGCTCGGTAGAAAGTGAAAGTCGGAGATGCAGTCCTTTGAGATCTTTTTTGGGGCAAGCATCTCATTATTTGCACATTTTAGCCAAAGGAGCCAGAATGGTTCGACAGGATATTCAACTAGTGAAAAAGACGAATCAACTTGTCAGAAGCTGTACAGGATTTGTACCATCAAAAAGAGTTTTTTGTCTCTTCAGACGTAACACTTTTGTCACCAATAAGGGTTATTCAGAATAACAGGCACATTTTTTGGATCAATGCCTCGGACATTTCATGCATCATATATTTAGACATTTTGCATTTCTTATTTTCTTTGCATTTTGTTATTTTCTTTGCATTCACATTAACTAACATAAACATGTCTCATCAAAGGGAGCAAATACTGGATACACCGCCTCAAGTATTGGACACACCCCATCCACATAACACTAGTTTAAAAAAGAAGAGGATGGAAGCCAGAATTACACAAATCGAGGAGAATATGTTAAAACTACAGAAGGAGTTAGAGGACAAGATAAACCAGAACAGTCGAAATATTCTGGAAACAATCGCAAAGAACCAAGAGTCATTGGTTGACCAGATCGTTGCCAAGTTAATTGGCCTACAACAGACCAGTGCGCCTGGGGCAGGTTCATCGGAAGGGGTAACTATACAACCTACCCCACAAGTGGTTATCTCACCTGAAATCTTACCAGAACTTCGAGGGGACTCATCTGCTGCAAAATCAAAGCCCTTGTCCTCTGTATTTAACCCTAAGAACAATCCGGGTTATTACCATGTACCGGATTTGGATGAAGAGGGAAAAGCGAGGAAGATGGAGGAAAAAATCAAACAATTGGAGGACCAAATGAATATAGTCAAAGGAGACCGTGACTACCATGAAATCGATGCAACGGAACTTAGTCTAGTCCCGGACTTGGTTCTTCCCCCGAAATTT